CACACACACACACACACACACACACACACACACACACACACACACACCAGCTGCCTCTCTGCTGTGTGAGGGAACAAAAGATACAGTGAAGTCATACAGCTGCCACAACAGCAGGATTACAAACGTTAGGGGCAGAGAAACAGGAGCAGAGTAGACCTTTATGAGCCACTTCCACACTTAATGTCTCACTTACTGCTCAGTGCCTTCAAATGTCATTAAACAAAGTCGAACCAATACTGCAGCTCTCCAGTCTCCACAAACACGTACTTCTGCAACTTACAAATATAAGAACTCCTGACTCACGGTCCATGTAGTAGCTCTTCTGGAGCTTTCAGCCAGTTCTCACTGTCTTCATCAGTGGGTGGCGTTTGCTCGACAAACACACAGTATTTAAAGATTCATTATTTTTTACAGCAACTTTTTGAAGCAAGCTCCACCCACCGATGAAGAACGTGGTTCAACCAAAAGGAAATACCTAAGACTGTAGTCCATTCGTCCTGAACAGCTCCTTTACTCTACAAGAACACTAAATGTGTTGTACTTTGAAATCTGCACAAGTCAAGTACATTTGATTGGATGGCAGCCTAGTCTCCAGACAATAACACAATGACTGATGTCACACCCGTCTGAATGATGCAGTGTTCACACGACGAGCAACAACACAGAGAAGCGTGGCCTTCTACATAGTGGGCCGGTGTCGGCTGAAGTGCTGCTCGGGCAGCGGTTGGTGGAGTTATGTCGTTACACAGCGCTGAACGGGACAGCTACACACGCTCAGCCGCTCGTAGTGTGAACACAGCATCGGGGTCACGCTCGGACTAAACTGTGGGATCTCCAAAAACTGGAAGGGACAAACCTGAGGGGACATTCAGCATCGTATCGTTGCGTCAACAATCACAGCAACTACTACTGGTGTTTCAATGAGACAAAGCTGTTTACAGATGAATTAATAGAGGAACATTTCAAAATATGAATCAACAGGGAGGTGGAGAAGACTCCTGGGTAATAGTTCCATTTCCTGTAATCAAAGTGGGACTACGAGTGGAGCTTCCACGGATGCCTGTCCTGTTACTCATACTGAACCTCACAAGCAGCCGGGTAGGTGTGCACAGTACAGGTTTCACAGCCGTGTTAGTGTCGTCATTTCCCTCCTCGTTGGCACGACTGGTGTGTGTGTGTGTGTGTGTGTACCGAGCGTGGTTAGATGATATCTGGCCACGGTTCAGGATTTAACCCGTTTAACAGCTACTCTAAATGATTCGCACAGTTTCAGTGCGTCAGAGGCCTTAAGGGGAAGTCACCTTTCTAAAGAACCTTCCTTACAGCCTTTTAGTAAGTGTGCGAGTTATAATCCAAATCTTTGATTGTTTGTTTCAATAATCCATATTTTACTTTACTATCAAAGTAGTGGTTAGCAGGTCAACCAGCTCTGTTTCTGCTGATTGATCATTAAACTGTTGTTAGTGATGTGTGTGTGTGTGTGTGAAGACGTGTTGCTTGTTGCGTGGACGTCTCAGTCATCATGAGGAGAAACAAACTATATTATAAAGTGAAATTTACCATTAACACCAGAAAGTTATGGTAACGGATACATTATATATCATCTGGACTTCAGGATATAAAGATAATAATTCGCAGTACAAGTACACATGACTCTGGTGGGAACATGTTGGTACTACACAAAAATGCCACTTCAGCATTTTTTTTATAAAATGCTGTTTTATCACTAATTTTGCGGAAGATGAGTGTTACATTAGCTTTAGTCCCGCCGACACTCGGTGTAAACTTCAGCGGTGACTCGTCCGTGTTTGTGGAGCTGCTTCTGAAGGATCTGATCTCATTCACAATGGTTTTGGATATTATTGCAATGAGCAGTGGTGACACACAAACCAGATATTGACACGAATGTTTGGTGAAACTGACGAGTAACAATCACCCGATTAGATACGATTGTTTTGTTAATTGTATTTGTTTGATCGGTATTATTTTATCAGTTCAACAAATTCACAAAACATATACTAATGTTATTGCTGCAATTCCTTAACTACCAATCGTTTCGATTTATCAGGCGATCACACTGAAACATTAAGTTGTAGTGTTGTTGAATTATTACTGTTTGACAGCTTGAACAACACTGCAGAGGTCCATCTCCCAAATCTGCCGGAGGTTGCTCCCGCCGACCGCCCGCGGGGAGATGGAAGAAGTAGCGGGGGAAGGAACGCCTGCCGCGGTCACATAGCTCCAGCACCACCGCGATAGCCGGCGGAGGAATGAGTGGCATAGCTGGGAGCTGATAAAGGGATTCGCCCCATAGCTAGAGACGCGTGCTGTTCTCAGATATGACCTATGACAAGAGAGCAACACTTCACTTATTAATAACAACAACCTACTCAAAACCCTCCGACAACGTTCACAGAACACACAGTCGTGCGGTTAACGGAACGTTGTCGTCACCGCAGACGCATGTTCAAAACTTCGCCGAATAACCCCGGGGACCGTTTAGTGAACCCGTAGAGCACGCCTCGGTTCACGGAACGTTCCTCGGACCGACACCGTGCCCTGCTACACGCACATTTCTTAGCTAACTCTTGAAGACAGTGCAGTCGGCATCGTGGTGAGACCTCACATAACCTCTCGGTGTTTCTAGGCCTCTTCACGCACACAAGTTAACAGACCTGTCCTCGGAATCCATCCGGCTGAGCGGCTCTCCATTAGACGAGCTCAGCTCCACGCCGGCTTGTATTTTGGTGCCGTGCTCGGCTTTCTCCGCCGTCTTTGTGTGCTCGCTCGGCGGTGAGGAGAACACGTTCTCTGCCTCTCTTTGTTCTTGTTTCAGCACCCGGGAGTCCTCTTGTGCGGAATCAGTGCTACTCGCCAAACTCCCCTGTGCGGGACTTTTCCCCGGTTCAGAGAGTTTACCACCGGGTTCCCCTTCGTCGTTGCCGGTCTTTTCGGTCGGTACCGCTCTTTCTTTGCCGTCTTCGCGAACAGGAGACAGGTCGTCCCCGTCCTCCGCCGCCGCACCACGACCACTGTTCACGTCCATTCCTGCTCTGTGCTCGTTGTTGTCGCCCGGTTCCTGTTTGGGGTCCGGCACGGCCTGTCCCTCTTTGCCGGTTTCTGCTGTTTCCCTGGTTCCGTTTTGATCCGACGTCGGCTGGGAATCTTGTTCGGCCCCGTCGCTCGTTATTTGAGCCATTCTCGAACAGTACAGAAAGCTATTTTTGTGATGTTCCACTCGAAAGTTGCCCTCCGGCTGCCGTTCTTCCTCCGCTCACACTCCCCGCTTCAAGCGTAAAACTCAGCAGGGGGTTTGCATGACGTCGGGGCTCCGCATGGCCAAAGCTCTTTTATTGAGAAGATGTCTCACTCTGTAACTATACATGTATCCAGCAATACGTTGATAATTAAGTTGAGTCAAGTGCTTCTCTAAACAGCAGTGCTAGCAAAATGATTCTCTGTAGTTTTTGCATATAGTTTACAAAGTTAAATTCTGGCTTTTTGACACTGACCAACATAAAAATCCCACATGTCTGATGTTGTAGTGTCATTTATAAATATCTGTATATCTGTGTAAACAAATAAACATATTTCCAAATTAAAATCGACTAATTAGGATAACTACGATGGGGTTAGAAGCTAACTAGCGTCCCTTGCAATTAATGAATTATTAAAATGTTTGTTTTCCTTTCATATTCACTACTTTTGATCTTGATGGAATTGTCTAACCTGGTTCAGAGAGGTGGGTTAAATAGGGCACAAGGAGGAGCAGACTGAAATTATTTTGTTTACGAGTGAGTCATCCTCATAGAGATAAACGATCTTCGGCATTGTGGCCTCTCAGCTCCACGTGTTCCGACAAACAGAAAAATGATCCAACTCCAAAAGTGCTGAAAAGGCACGCTCTTATCTCAGCAAGGTGCATATTCCTGCAGGCACCACCGCTCTCTTGAGCCAGTTTTAGCGTTCATGACTGTACCACCACTCTTAATACGGCTCCAGTCTGAACCGTGGAGCTCTGAACCGTGCAGATCTTAGTGGCCGACTTGTTGCATTGAAATTAAGGCCTGCTTCTGTAATGCCTGTGCTAACGTTGAGCTGTACTCTCAAAATATCAATGCTTCAAGGGGGATTTATTGGGGTTCGATCTCCGGCTCCTCTAGTCCATGTCGAAGTGTCCTCGGAAAGATACTGTGTTTGTGTATAAGGTGTGTGTGTGTGTGTGTGTGTGTGTGTGAGAATGTTGACTGGTAGTGTACAGTGCTTTTAGTGGTCGAAAGGCTAGAAAGTCTTATTTACTATTATCATTATGCAACATGACAGTGCACAATGAAATGCAGTATCTATACAAGAAAAACATGATCAAACAAAGCAGTATTGCATTTTTAAAAAAGTTGCATCAAGAGGAATGTAAACAGCAACAGACGGCAAAAAACATCAAAAATGTGACATGTTCATAAACCCGACCATGCTTGAGCACCAAGCATCATTGATGTAAACATGATTCTGCTCTAGTCCCATCGGAGTCTTGTGCTCGTTCCACCCTGCAGCTTGATGCAGGATCCCACAATGGAGGCAAAAATAAAAAAATAACTCATCTCACAGTGAAAGTATTTCACGAGGTCATCTCTCATTCCTGCTCCCGGTCAGAGCAGGCTGAGTGCTGGCCCCCGGATGTGCTGCTTGCGGCTTTGTCAAGAACCTCTGAGCTCTCGTTGACTCCATGGAGGGTAAGAATGGTATGTGGACTTGTATTTATATAGCGCCTTTCTAATCTTCCGACCACTCAAAAACACTGCACTCTACATGTCAACATTCAGCTATTTTGTGTTTAGTAGCTTTCCCAAAGACACTTTGATGCCGGGGATCAAACTGCCTATAAGATAAGATAAGATAATCCTTTATTAGTCCCGCTGTGGGGAAATTCACAGGATCACAGCAGCAAAGTGGACACAAGATACAGAGTAAAATACAAGAGCAACAAGTAATATAAATAAGTAATAAACAGTAAGAATATCAACTAAGTCAAAAAGTACAACATCCACAGTAACTAAGTATAACTAAAGTAAAATAAGTAAAATATTAAAATATTATATATACAGGCAGGGTTTTTTTATTGCACAGTGTGTTTCTATTGCACATATTTTTAGTGTTGTTGGTGTTGTGTGGTCTACTGGGAGCACAGCTGGTTGTGCAGCCTGACAGCAGCAGGAAGGAAGGACCTGCGGTACCTCTCCTTCACACACCAGGGGGGAATCAGACGGTGGCTGAAGGAGCTGCACAGAGCTGCCAGGGCATCCCGCATGGGGTGGGAGGTGATGTTCATCAGGGATGATAGCTTAGCCATCATCCTCCTGTCTCCCACCACCTCCACCGTATCCAGTGGACACCCCAGCACACTGCTGGCCTTCTTGATAAGTTTGTTCAGCCATCAGCGCTGCAGGGGCGGCGTGAAAGTGCATCTGCGTTCCTGTGGCGTGCCCCCGGTTTGTGGACCACAGTGAAATCATACGCCTGCAGCTCCCCCATCCAGCGTGCCAGCTGGCCTTCTGGCTCTCTGAAAGACATGAGCCACTGTAAGGCAGAGTGGTCGGTCCTGACTGTGAAGTGGAGGCCCCCAAGGTAATATTTGAAATGTCGGATGGCACTGACCACAGCAAGCAGCTCCCGCATTGTGACACAGTAGCGACGTTCAGCCTTGTTGAACTGTCTGCTGTGATAAGCCACCACTGTCTCCTTCAGGAGTCACTTGGGCCAGCACAGCACCTGCGCCTGCATCACTGGCGTCTGTGTCGAGAATAAAAGGCAGGGTGAAGTCACATGAATGTTCTTCAGACAGTGCCACAGTAGAGATTTAGCTCTTACCTTAAGGTCCAAGATGATTGATAAATAGTCGGCTCTGGAAGTTCAGGAAGTGTTCGATTAATACCATCTAGAGAAGGGACTCAGGTCTTCCTCTGCGAGGAATAGCAGAATTAACATGAATAAAGTTGAGGTTGGCCCTAATGCTACTTTAGTTTTGAACATCCCCGAACAGAAACAAGCTGTGAGTCAAGACACCTCAGCTCTGGACAGGTTGATTGGAATGCTACGGTATTGCTTCAGGGTTGAGGTTATGCTTATGCCAATAAAAAAAACACATACAGACTTCCAAAAGTTGTGTGTTTAAAGGACACGCCATACGAAAGGAAAGCTCTGACTCTACCCTTACACACTATGGAGAGAAAAGGCTGTGTTTCTTGTGTCAATTACCTGGCTATCCAAGACGCAACTGTCCAGAGGGGAGACGTCCTCCGCTCTGGTTTGCGAAAAGACTGCAACTACAGCCAAAGTTCCCAAGTCAAGTCCCCATGGACTGAACTACTGCCGCCTCTAAAATAAGCAGATATGTCTTTTTTGATTACTCAAACAAGTCCACCCCCACCTTTTGGTCTGGAGTAGCTCTCTGTACTGTGTTCTGTTTCTGGCATATTTCACATTTGTCTACTGTCTCTTATCTGGGCAGATATACAGGGCCGCCATACTGATTCATAGGGCTCTGGCTCAGCATTTGGAGGTCCCTTGATGACCTTCGTGGAGTTTAATCGTTATCTCCCCTCTCAGTAGCTGAGGTACAACAATACTCTTCTATTTCATGAGGTACAGATACAGCTCTGCTGTGACCTGCCAGTAAGGTACAACGTCTGGTTTCTCTGGCTGTTCCGTTAAACAGTAGCGTACCACTGTTTTACATCTTTTATAGGTTTGTTGTGCCTGTTTGATTTCATCCAACCGTGGGACTGTAGCTGGTAGTAAAGACACAACAGCTTCCACAAACACCTGGACGTCTTGCTCCAGTGGTAGGTCTTCTGAGGACGGAGTGTTGCTCAGTGGAGCTCTGGACAATGTGTCTTCGGTGATGAGATTTTTACCTGGGACATGGACAGTGCCATAGTCTCATTTTAATAGTCTCAGACGGAACCTAAGAACTCTGGGGGGCAGATCATCCAAACCTCAGGTGCTCAACAGTGGGATCAGAAGTTAATGGTCTGTCAGTAGTGTGAAGTGCAGACCCTGCAGGTATGAGGCTAGCGATTCTTTCTCAATCTGCACATAGTGCTTCTCCGTTTCTGTCAGTCCTCTTGAGATGTACAGTATGTCCTGAGTCATGTGTCATGAGTTTTTGTTTGAGAAAAAAATCCTTTTATTTGCTGTTTTCTGCACTAACTTTTGCTGGTAAGCTGCTCCGCAAGTGTTTACTCACTGAGCTAAACATCTGCAGTTTGTCGCAGAACATAGCAACTTCATTATACCAGTGGTGGGTCATCAGGGCCTGCAAGGCCTTCTCTGCTGGCCTAAACAGAATCACAAATTTATAGCTATTTTATAATCTAATATTTTTTCTTAAATAATCTACATGTATTATAATTTATATAAATATTTTCCCCATTATCTTATGTTCTCATTGCACAGCTACTGTCTTCCTCAGTTGCTCTGCTTCCAGTGCAGCTTGTTTTAAGTAGAGCTTTTATCCAATCAGATTTCACCTCTGTGTCTCTAGGTAAGAACAGAGGCAGAGGCCTGCAGACT